CACTTTAAGTCACAGAAGCAGTTAAGCAATTAATGTGTAAATCAGGAACCAACGCACAAAGGACAAAAAGGGCTGAGTTCAAGTTTCTTCTGCCACAGCCTAGTGATTGCTGACCATTTCTTGAAGTCATGAATACAGATGGTAGATGGGAATTAAAAGGCTGTACCCATTGAAAGGGTGAATAATCTTTTTCTTATTTTGTGTGCTGACTTCATTATTTAGTGTAGCTTTATTTTTATTTTTTTGTTAATCCTCACCTGAGGATATTTTTTCATTGATTTATAGAGAGAGGGAAAGAGAGAGGGAGACAGAGAGAAACACCTATGTGAGAGAGACCCATCAATTGGTTGCCTCCTGCATGCGCCCTAACCAGGGCTGGGTTGGAGCCTGCAACTGAGTACATGCCCTTGACCAGAACTGAACCCCAGACCCTTCAGTCCAGAGGCTGACACTCTATCCACTGAGCAAAACCGGCTAGGGTTAGTGTAGTTTTAAATGCTTTTATTAGAAAAGAAGAAATGTAATAAAATCAATGAGTTAAGTTCCCACTTTAAAAAACTAGACAAAGAATAACAGATCCAAAATAAGCGAAGAAATAACAAGAGTATAAATAAATGAAAAATAAGACAGAAAAACAATAGGAAAAAAGCCCAGTAAAGTTAATTTTGGTTCTTTTAAAGAATTAATAATCACCTAGCTAGGAAAAAAGAAAAGAGACACAAATTACCAATATCAGGAGTTTTTAAAAGAACATAATTAGAGATCCTACAGATATTAAAATTATAAGGGAATAGCCTAAGCTAATAATTTTATGCTAATGAATTTACCAACCTAAACGAAATAGAATATTCCTTGAAAAACACAGATTCCTAAAAGTGAAACAAAAAAAACAAAACAGAAAATCTAAATAGCCCATATCAATGAAATTGAATTCATAATAAAAAACCATTCCACAGAGAAACTCTATGTCCAGCTATCTCCACCAGTAAACTCAACCAAAAACTTAAGAACTTATTAATAACTAGTTTTATGAGGTTAGTATAATCCTGATACAAAAACTTGACAAAAATATAAAAGAAAATTACAATCTAATATTTCTCATAAAGAAAGACATAAAAATCCTATGTAATAAAAGGATAATATGCAAATCGAACAGCAGGACAACCGGTCGCTATGACACGCACTGACCACCAGGGGGCAGATGCTCAATGCAGGAGCTTCCCCCTGGTGGTGAGTGCACTCCTACAGGGAGAGCGCTGCTCAGCCAGAAGTGGGGCCCATGGCTGGCGAGCGCAGCAGTGGTGGTGGGAGCCTCTCCCACTTCCATGGCAGCTCTAAGGATGACTGCAGCTTAGGGCCACTCCCCGCAGGGAGCGGGCCTAAGCCATCAGTGGGACATCCCCTAAGGTCTCCGGACTGCTAAAGGGCACAGGCCAGGCTGAGGGTCCTCCTCCCCCACCGCCCCTCCAGCACACGAATGTTGTGCACCAGCCCTCTAGTATTTAATAAAATATGAGCAAATCAAATCCAGCAACATGTAAAAAGGATAATACATCATGACCAAGTGGATTTCTACCAGGAATGCAAATTTAACTTAAAAACATCAATGTAATTCAAAATACTGACAAAATAAAGTACAAGAACTATATGATAATTTTAAAAGATACAAAAAGAGCATCTGAAAATATTCGACATCGATTCATGATACAAACTCTTAGCAAACCAGAAATAGAAGGGAATTTCCTCAGTCTGAAAAAGGACTTGTATGGACAACCTAAAAACCATACTTCATGGGGAAACACTGAACTTCACCTGATACTAGAAATAAGGCAGGGATATCCACTCTCCCACTTCTACTTAACTGTGTACCAGAGGTGCTAGTCAGGAAAAGAGCAGAAAAAAGGAGTGAGACACAAATATTGGAAAATAAAGCTTGTTACTCGCACATTAACATGACTGTGTATATAAAACCCTGTAGAATATTTAAAAAAAACTATCAGAAGAAGTAAATTTTAAAAGGTTGCAGGGTACAAGGTTAACATACAACAATTAATTATATTCTATATAAAGGCAGCAAACAACTTGAAAATGAGTGACTTGTTTTAAGAAACTTTCATTTATAATAACATCAATAACATAAAATATTTAGGAAGAATATTAACATAAGACCTCTACAGCAAAACCTAAAAATAGGCCTAATGAAGAAACAGGCAAGATGCTTCTAAAATTTATTTGGAATACAAAGGATCTAGAATAGACAAAATAATTTGTAAAAGAAAAAAAATGTTGGAGGGTTTATGCTACCTAATTTTAAGTCTTACTATAAAGTCACAGAAATAAGAAAGTGTGGTACTGGCATAAGAATAGACATAAAAATGAATGAAACAGAGGAGTACAGAAATAGACCTAAATACCTGGTCAATTTATTTTAGACAAAAGTGCCAAGTTAATCTAATAAGAAAAGAAAAAAATCTTTTGAACAAATGTTGCTGAAACAACTGGATACTCATATGTAGAAAATTAACATTGACTCCAATATCACTGCATACACAAAATTAATTTGACATGGATCATGAGTTAAATATTAAAGCTAAAACTATAAACCTTCTAGAAAAAAAAAACAGATAAGAAAATCATTGCAACCTTGGGGAATGCAGAGATATTTTGGACAGGGATAAAATCCACTAATCATAAAAAAATATTTTAAACCAGACTTCATCAAAATGATAAATATTTGCTCACCAAAAGACACTGTTAATAAAATGGACTCAAAACTCAAACAAATATATTTGCAATACATATATCTGACAAAGGAGGTATATCCAGATTACATAAAAGAACTCTTATAATAAAAAACAGTAAAAAGACAAATAACCCAATTATTTTCTGGGCAGGACACTGAAAAATCCACCTCAGAAAGAAGATATCTAAATGGCCAACAAGTACACAAAAAGGTGATGAACATCATTAGTCACCAGAGAAATGTAAATTAAAACCATCTTATATCCTCTAGAATGGCTAGAATAAGAAAAATCACTAACAGCACTAAATGTTGGCAAGGATATGAAGCAACTGGAACTTTCATACAATACTGGTGGGGAGTATAAAATGGTACGTCCAGTTTGGAGAATTGTTTGGTTGTTCCTATAAAGTTTAACAATACATCTAACCTAAGTACCAACAATCCTAATCTCAGGTATTTACTCAAAAGAAGTGACAACATATGCCACAAATTTTTTTTTACAGAAATGACCACAGCAGCCTTATTTATAATAGTCCCAAACTGGAAATAACCCAAATGTCCACCAAGAGGAGGACAGGTAAATGTATATTCATATAGTGGAATACTACTGAACAATAAAAAATAATGAACTACTGATACACATTTTATCAGGAATGAATTTCAAAAACATGTTAAGCAAATGAAGCCAAACACAATACCATATGATTCCATTTTTTTTTTACAAATTCCAAGAATAATAAAAATTAATCTATAGCAACAATTTTCAACCAGTGTGCTGCAAGAATTTTTAAAACATGCAATGCCAGACTATTTAGTCAGGAATACTGACCTCTTTTCCCTTAGATTGTCAAATAAAAAAAATGACAGCAGTCAATACAACAATAGCTGTCCAGTGTGAATGAATAAAAATTATACCTATTTTTTGGTCAAATCAGCAAAAAAATACAATTTTTGTTGTGCTGCGTAATTTTAGTAATTAGTTTATATGTCCCTGAGACAAAAAAAGGTTGAAAATCACTGATCTATAGTGATGGAAATTAGAAGTGGTTGCTTAGGGCTGCTTAAAAGGGGGTACAAGGAAACTTTGGGGGGAGATAAAAATGTCCCATATCCTGCTTAGGGTGGTGGTTACATGGATGTATATAACTGTTAAAACTCTATGCACTAAACATTTTAAATCTGTACATTTTATTTTATGTTAATCATACCTCTCTAAAAAGCCATTTACAAAGTATGGAGAGCAATACAAAATATTAATTGTGATTGCCTCTGGGTAGTGGGATTCTAGCTAATTTTTTCTTTTGCTAATTCACACTTTTATGAATTTTACAATCCTATATAATAAAAGGCTAATATGCAAATTGACCAAACAGTGGAACAACTGGTCGTTATGACGTGCACGGACCACCAGGGGGCAGATGCTCAATGCAGGAGCTGCCCCCTGGTGGTCAGTGCACTCCCACAGGGGGAGTGCAGCTTAGCCAGAAGCCCTGAGCCAGGCTCACGGCTGGTGAGCACAGTGGCAGTAGTGGGAGCCTCTCCCACCTCCATGGCAGTGCTAAGGATTTCTGACTGCCCCATGGGGAGTGGGCCTAAGCTGTCAGCCGGGCTCCCAGACTGCAAGAGGGAGCAGGCAGGGCTGAGGGACTTCCCCCCCCCCCCCAACCCAGTGCACGAATTTCGTGCACCAGGCCTCTAGTTTTCTATAATGAACTTCTCCCATCCCCTTTTTTCTATACCTATGTTTTGTAGTTTCACAAAGATGCTAAAATATTACCAGTATTTAACTTCTGAAAGTAGGATTATGAAAAGCATTAAAGGAAGTATTTGTCAAGTTCTCGTTTTATAGTTGGCACGTGGTGCAGATCTCTATGTAGGATCTGAAGGGAATTCAGGAGCTCAGGCAGAGGAACATGGCATACTGAGAAGAGGAAGGGATCAGACACAACAGAGTTCAACTCTACCTGGCTCTCTCACTGAAACTGGTGGGCAAGTCAAGGAGCCTATTTCCTCACCTCTAAAACGGGAATAAGATGTATCCTGTCTGCCTCAAAAGGGTTTTCTGTGAGTGAACCAGCTGTGGTCGATAAAGCACAGAAAGAATTAAGGTAGTAGTAACTTCTGATATTATGGGAAAAGTGTTTTTAGAAAGTCCTTTCTCAAAAGTCAGATTTATTACTTACAGCCCTATAGGAAGCAAGAAAAAAGATATTGCTAGAATAACTGTGCTTCTAAATCAATAGCCAATGATTCTTACCTATTGGTGCGGTAATAGTGATTCTGCAGAGCACAGGATATACACTGATTTAACCGCTTTCTCTCAATCTCCTTCCAGCTATCTTCTGGCCACTTTCTCTTGATCTGCTTCTCCTCGTGTTTTTTCCCCACATATTCAGCATAGGTCTGAATACGATAGCTTTCTGCGTATTTGCTGGTATTGACAGCTACAAGAAAAAGAAAAAAATCATTATGAAAGAGTCTGACGTAGCCCCGAGGTGCCACTGAGGTAGTCAAAGGAGCCCTGGATTCAGGTCTGAGCTCAGACACCAGCTCTGACACTAAGAAGCCAGGTGGCCTTGGGAACATTCCTTGGGCTCACCAAGTCTGTTTCCTCATCTGGAGAAAAGAGAGAGTCATTACTCCACAGCCTCACCCACAGTGTGAAAGTGCTCTGTAAACGTAAAGAACTGTCATGCTGTAAGTAAAAGATTAATTTTCAAAATATTTGCAGGTAACACTGCTGCTTAAAAATTATTCATTTCCAGAGTAAGAAAATGAAAACAACAACAAAACAAAACTACTAAGGGAAAACTGTAAACCTTCATTTATTTTGTTAAAAATAAAAATGGCAATAAAAGCAATCTTCACTGTCAAATACTGAAGTTCTACCATATGTGTGTGTCCAGTGTTTTGCATACATGATGTCTAATCTTCACAATACAATTACAAGGGAGGAACTGCTTTTGCTGATGAGAAAGCAGGGGCACAGAAGTCAGGTGATTTACTGCAGGCCTTACCACGAGTGAGTGGCAGCAATGGGATGCAAAACCAGGTTACTTTGACCCTAAAGCCAGGGGCCTTTTTGCTGTTCTGCACCTCACTTCTGACTCTGCAAATACAAGAGATCCCCACAATGCCTAAGACATGCCTCTTCTCCTTCCGCTTTTAAAGACTGCTAATTCTCTGTAATGTGCCTCTGGCTGGCAGGAATACTTGAAAGCTGGATGGAGCTTATTCCCTCCTTGGTGTTAATGCTTAACTAAGGCCAGGTCAGTTTTGTTGCAATCCTTTGCTGTGTCCTCCTCAGAGGCCGGGGGGGGGGGGGGGGGGGGATGGAAAATGCTGGTGGAGTGGGAGTGAGGACCCATGGAAGGCCTGTGGGTGGATAGGCACCCACTTGCTGATTCTGGCTCATGCATTTTGAGCATATACTCTCCTAGCCCACTCACTGCCAACAGTTATTTCACACACTGGCAGTGAGACAGTAAGTGCCTGACCTTGCTGACTTGGTATCTGGGCAGCTGAAAAAGCACCTTACTGTTGACAGAGAATCCATATACCCAGTTCTAGCAAAGTTCTTGGTACAGAGTACTTCTCAATAAATATTACGTGAATGAGTGCAGGCAGAATGCAGCAACTGGTGATAAGCATGCAGTATTTGAGAACATCAGAACTGGACAAAGGACTCAATTATATTAGGGACCTGAAATCAGAGGGAAAGACAACTGTGTGAGAGGCAGATGTTCCACATATCCTACACTTGACACTTAATCTTCATTCCAAGTGGGCCAGATTTGCCTAAAACGTCTCAGCACAATAGTGGATTACAGAATGTCATGCCCTTAATGTTTAGCTACTTAAAGAGCAAAATAAAACTACAGAAAAGAAAAAAAAAAACAATTCTGTAAGAAACACAAATTATACTAAGAAGTTTGCTGCAATTTTCAAACATTCACTCTAGAGTTAAAGAGAAATAAAAAGAAAAAAGAACCATGAGGGTATTAAGGAACTTTCATAGTATACAGTCTCCCAAAGAAGTAGAGTAGTTACTGAAATGTGAGCTCAAAATAGTGTGCTCTGACTCACTCACAAGGAGATAAACAGGCATCAAATTCTGGAGACATGCTATTGACCAAAGTCACTCATATCAATCAGAGAACCACAGAAATAGGATCCTTTCTCGAAAACCTTATTCCTCGTGACAGTTGCTTTTTTCCTACTTTCAGTGGCCACATTTCTGACTTTTCCCCTCATTTATCTAACCACCCAATAATTTCCATATAAACAAACACCATCCATCTATGCTTCCATCTAGTAATTGCTCACTGTCTGTCCAGGGACTATGCTAGGTATTTGATAAAAAAGACACAATCTCCATCCCCTTAAACTCACCCTGTCACATGCAAGCTTTATGTAGAGTTGATTTCCCTATATACCTGAGACTACCTACTAAAACAGGTTAACCTACCAAAATGATACACAGAGAACCCATAGAGTCTACCATCATTATTCTGTACTGACTGTTGGTAAATGAACACTTCCTGGATTTTCCTCTTTAAGTTTCGTTCCTATATCCAGCATGTTCATTTTGCAAATGTCCCCAAAAGGGATGACATCTGCAATAATCCCTCTCTCGAAATTAACTTGGACTACACCAAGTAAAAGAGTAGGCCTGAGTCAGTATTCCCCATGAAAGCAAAGGTGATGACTGGATCACAAAGGAGCCAAGATGACCTGTTTAACAGTGTCCAATTGTTTCCAATAATTTCACTCTCAGTGCCATGGACAAATGTTACAAACAACCCTCTAACCTCGGAAGGGGAATTTATTTGAGCACATTTGGAATTAGGATTGCTTAAAAGGGAAAACAAATAACAATCCACTTTTCACTCCTGGCCTTCACATGGCAATAATTTACCAGCATTCCTTCAAGTCCCAGCAGCTTTGCAGCTCTCGGCCTTTAATCTGGAAGCTAAGTTCTGGCTCAAAGCCACCCTTCTAATGGATGAATCAGCAAAATGAATTGGCTGTCAGCTGTGTCCTCCAGTGATTCCAGCTTGCCTGTCAGAAGCAACGTGTAGTCAGCTGCTTGGCAACACTAACCTTTTCCAAATTTGTCAGGGAAATGATTCAAGGCCATCTTTTGGTCATGCCACTTGGTTAAACCCACTGGGGAACTAACGCTGAGAGTCCTCCCTGTTTCCTTATAGGTGAGTGAGAGCAGTTCCTCCCACATAATAGTCTCATCCACTCACAGCTTCATTGTACTAAGTCCACTGTCTCTTGACACTCTGCACACATTTTAGCATTTAATCTTCACAATAACCCCACAAGGAAGGGATATTCTAGTCATCACACAGATACTGAGACAGAGCATCAGGGAAGCTAAGCAGCTTGCCTAAGATCTTGTAGAAGAGCAATAAAGCTGGTTTGGAACGAAAACGGGTCTTTTTTTTTTATGTAATATTGCCACAGATCTGCCATATATTTGTGTGCATTTATGTATTTATTGGATGAACAATTATTTTGTAAAATGATTCTTTTAGAAGTTTTAAAGATTTAAAATGTTTAGATTTTTTCTTTCTAAAAATTAAGAACTTTCCATTACTGTCAAGCTAAGTCTAAGTTGATAGATACATTATGTTTAAGGACAAGAAGACGTAACACCAGATGTAGATTCCTTCCTAAATTGATCTATAGATTTAATGTAACTGCAGTAAAAAAACATAAAAATAAAAATCCCAACATTTTAATAGAACATTGGAAAAAAATTAAATGAAATGAGAAACAAATCTGCAGAAAACAGAGCAGTGGTAGCCAACAGCAGGAGGAGGTCAACTACCAAGGAGATGAGGGAATTTCAGGGTGATGGAACTGCCCTAATATGTTGAGTGTGGTGGTGATTACACTTGTTGAAATGCAGAATTGTTCAACAAAGAGGATACTTTTATTGTATATAAGTTATACCTCAATTATTCTGTGGAATTAGAATGGTTGATTCCAAAATTTAAATGGAAGAACGGGCCAACAATAACCCAGACATTTCTGAAGAAGAAAAGAAAGGGGGACTTGCCTGGGTAGCCAAACAAGCTTATTGTAAAGCTACAGTAATTAGGCAGTGTAGTTCAAAGACAAACAAAGTGACCAATGGCATAGAGGAGCCTAGAAACAGACGTATGCATCTGTCAGAGTTTGCTTTAGGACAGAGACAGCATGACAGAGAGTGTGGGAAAGGAAAATTGGAAAAATTGTTTATCCATAGGAAAAAAATGAAATTGAATTCTTACTCACACTATGCCAAAAAATCAACTCCAGATGGATGAAATACTTAAATGTTAAAAGCAAACTTGAAAAGAAAATATAAGTAAATATCTTTCTGAGCTTAAAGTAGGAACGAATTTATGAAGATATAAAGTGTTAAGCATAAGAAAGATAATAAATTTGGCTACATTAATAGGAAAACTTTTGTGCATTAGAAGACACTTTAAAGAGAGTGAAGACAATCTACAAAATGGAAGAAGATATTTGTAACATATGCAACTGATAGAGTTGAGCACCAGCATACATAAAGACACCTACACATCAGTAAGAAAGCGCCCAGAAAAATGGGCAAAAGACATGAAAAGCATGCATAGCCATTTCACACAAAAGGAAGCATATGACAATAATTATATCAAGAAATGTTCAACCTCAGGAAACAAGATAACATGTTGTAGATTTGTAGTGGGAGGGAGAGAGCGAAAGGGAAAGGGGAGGAGAAAGAGGGGTGGATGAATACAGGTGGGGAGAGAGATAAAAAGAAGTAACACAAAAGGAAAAACCAGGAAATGATCAGCACAACATTTGGAAGAGTGGTTGCCCCTGGCAGGGAATCAGGAGGGTGGGGTAGGGTAGGAACAACAGGTAGATGTAATTTATTGGCAATATGTTAGTTCTTTAGTTGAGTGGTGGTTTCCTAGATGTTCATTACATCTCAACCAAACAAATTGTTTAGGTTTCTGTTGTCTACCCTGTCCAATTAAGAGCCATTTCCAATACAGACTGTCCAAATACAAAGGTCTATGAAAGACGAGGTTAGTTATTTCAGTGTCAATGTCTTCTGTGGTACGCATCTGCCCCTGAATGGTCCAAGTAGTGTAAATGAGCACTGCTGTTGAAATGCCAGACTTCTCACACCTTCCCCGGGAAGCTAAGGTCATCTGTACACAGCCAGTTTATCAGACAGCTAAAATCAGTTCATGGTAGCAAATGCTGGGAAGAGGGTGGGGGAGCACTTAGAAAAATGCAGGACACACCAATATGTCTGCATTTTTTTACAACGGCTATCCTCAACCAACATCCTGTTCTCAATTTCTAAGGAGATTACTTATATTCTTATTAATCCAATGTCTACAAGAAAGAGAAATATTTATTGGATATGTACTCTGCCAGGCACAGAAAATCC